GTGTGTGTAGGTGTGTTGTGTGTGCTGTGTGTGCTGTGTGTGCTGTGTGTGATGTGTGTGTAGGTGTGTTGTGTGTGCTGTGTGTGCTGTGTGTGTGTAGGTTTGCTTTGTGTGATGTGTGTGCTGTGTGTGCTGTGTGTGGTGTAGGTGTGGTATAGGTATGGTGTGTGTGCTGTGTGTGTGTAGTGTAGGTGTGGTGTAGGTATGGTGTGTGTGTTGTGTATGTGTGGTGTGGTATGTGTGACATGTTGTGTGTGTGATGTGGTGTGTGTGCACATGTTATGGGTATAGTCCATGTGTGACACAGTGTGTAGTATGTATGTGTATACTTGTGTGGCGTATGTGTGACACAGTGTATATGGTGTGTACATGTTGTGTGTATGGTGTATGTATGAGACATGATATGTGGGTGGGTGAATGTTCTTGTTTTGTATGGCATGTGTGTGACTCAGTGTGTGGGGGTGTATGTGTGTGACACAGTGTATTGTGGTATGTGTATACATGTGTGTAGTATGTGTGTACATGTGTGGTGTGTATGACACAATATGTGTGATGTGTATACACACGTTACGGTGTTCAGTGTGGGTGCATGTGTGTACATGTATGTACTTTATGTGGCATAGTGTGGGGTAGTATGTGATGATATGGCATGTATGTGTGGCGCATGTATGGTATGTTGTGTGTGGCACATTATGTGAATGTGTATTGTGGTGTAGAGTGGCCAGAGAGGATGCTGACCCTGGCCCTGCTGGCTATAGGACAGCCAGCCACAGAGAACTCGGGTCTTACCCAGGTACCACAGCAAGGGCACCAGGGCAGAAGGCAAGGACAGAGGTTTCTGGTCCTTCCAGGCCAGCCTGCCTGGGTGAGGTCATACCCGCTGCTTCCCTCCCTCCACACCTACTTTCCAAGGAGAAAATTGGACCCAGAGAGCAGGAAGACATGCAGCCTTAGCAGGACAGAGGCAGCACAGCCAGACCCAGTTCCAGGACTCAAAGCCCCATGACCCCTGGGATGGGCTAACCCCCGCACTCCAGCCTCCGTATAGCTGAGGCGTGAGGACCAGCCCCCACTCAAGCCAGGCTTAATCTTCAACCACAGACATGAGCCAGATACCCATCTGTGGGGTACATGGGGCCTGCAGAGACCTGAGACCTGGCCCAGCACCAGTGTCCAGCAGAGTCTCGCCAGCCCCTCACCCTGCAGCATATCTCACCAGCCATCCAGACATTGTGCTGGTCCCGTGACAACCAGCACACCAACACTACTCATGCACATAAATGACTTGTTCATACACAGACACAGACATGCCATCACACACATGGACACATATGCTCTCAATACCCAGGGAATTCAAACACTCAGGTGCACACATGTGCAGGCAACATGCACACACATTCACACATACACGTTCACACTGTCTTACACACACACACAATTTCAAGCAGACCCCAAGTCCATCATGCCTTGCCGGCCAGGCCAGGATGCAGAAGGCAAGATCTGTTGCTGCAGACTGGCTGGGCACAAATAACTGGGAGGTCAGCCACTTGTAGATTCAAGCAGGAACGAACTTTATTTTCAAACTCACCCGAATGCCACCCACGCGACCCTCCAGGAACTCCCAGAGCTCAACCGGAACTCAACCAACCCATGCGAACTCTCTAGGAACTCAAGGGGAACTCCACGAGAACTCAAAAATTGCGGGCACCTGAGGCAGCAGGAACCGCCCCTTCTGGCAAAATACCAGGCACCATCTTGACCTGGCCCTGGCTCTCAACAATCTGTGGAGCTCACCAGCCAGCCCCACCTCCCAAAATTGTCTCACCTCCCTCCTCTGAGCTCCATGATGGGCAGGAAGCCAGAACGGCCGCCCTAGTCAAGTCCCCCCAGCACCCCACACCCCAAATACTCTCACACAACCACCAGGAGTGATGCCTAAAGCTTGGAGACTCTGGCCCAGAACAGGGTGGAGGGTTCCCAGCCCTCATGAACTCATCCCCAACAGCTTGATTTCCCATCCAGCAGCTCCAGGAGGCCCACTGGCTGGAGCAGAACATCCTTGGTCAGTGAGAAGCCCAGTCTCTAAAACACAAAGCCATTTCTCATGTGACCCCACAGTGTAAGCCAGGTGCCAGATCTCTCGGTAAATTCCCACAAACTCCCCACTCTCCTGAAGAAAGGAGCTGGGCCCCTCCTGCTCCAGATGGGGGCTTCTGATCCTTCCAGAGCAGGGGAGGGCAGCACAGAGGGAGGCCTGCAGCCAGCACCGGGCCTCAGCCCGTGGGGAAACAAGGAGCCGAGGGCCAGACCCTCTTCTGCTGTGGGACTCTTGAAGCTTTTGCTGAGCTGATCAGCATGGACACCACATTGTCCTCCCAAGTCCTGCCCAGTGCCCACACTCCATGAAGGTCATCAGTATGAATGATCCCATGGACAGCTGGAGAGCCACCACACACCAAGTCACCCAGAGTAGACCGTGGGGCAACCGCACCCTATATTCAGTGTTCTTGCCCAACATGCAGGTCTGCTCCCCACCTGGACCTACCAGGACGGTCCATGCCAAACCAGGATACCAGGATGGTCCACTTTCCACCAGGACACTAGGAGGGTCCACTCCCCACCTGAACACCAGGGAGTCCACTCCCCACTAGAACACCATGTGGGTCCATTCCACATCAGGACACCAGAAGGGTCCACTCCCGGCCAAGGTACTGGGAGGGTCCACCCTACATCAGCCCTCCTGTAGGGTCCACCTCTCCATCAGGACACCAGGAAGGTAAATTCTACTACATGGGAACACCACCAGGATCCATTCTCCACCAGAACTTTGTCAGGGACCATTCTCATCAGACCACAGACAGATTCACTCTTAAGAAGCAGATTCCAGGTGGCAAAAAAGCAGGTGCCAGAAGGCGTGTTTCCCAGAGATGCGTGGCCACAGAGGTGTAGTCCCGTAGTGGATGCTCACAGAGGACTCCATGGTGGTTGGCACACAGGGTGGACGTGGTTTGGGATGGAGGTGAGCAAGAAGCAATGGACATTGCCCAACTCATAAGTTCATCCCCAGAGAAACCCTGTCTAAGAGAAGAATGATAGAAAAGAAAGGCTGTATTCAGTGGCCAGAGGATGAAGATGGAGTTTTGCTCACAAAACTGGAGAGTGGAGGGGTAGGCTAACATCATGTCTTCTTAGGGAATAGGTAGAAATCTTCCAGGAACTTAGATGCCACCTCCTGTCATCCCCTTTAAGGTACAGCATATCACCTCATGGGGTCTTTAGCCTTAACGGGGGGAGAGGGAGGTGAGGCAAGCCTGGGTCAAGTCAACCCTATATTATAGTTTCACAAAATGTCTCTCAAGAGTTTAAAGGTCTACATGTGGTGCTGATGATACTCTGATCCAAAGGCGAAGGCAGCAAAGGTCATGGACACAATATGGGGACAGAGAGGCTAAGCCCCCACACCCAATCCAACCACCACGGGACATGAACAGGCCCAGGAATCAGTGCTTTCAACAAAATCTGCCCATGAGACCCCAGAGAGTATCCCGGGCAAGGAGTTTCATAATCCCATTAGAGGAGTAATCTACAGCAAAGGGATGGTAAACTAATAATAGATAAGAGGCCCATGTGACTCAGTATGGAAATGCTTAGGGCATTGGGGGACCAAGTTGGACTACAGGATGATTTAGGTTTTTCCTGGTACCATGATTGTTTATTGAGTAATACAAGTCACGTTTTGGACAAGGAGAAAGTGTTCCTGGATGGGAGTGTCCAGGGCAGGTCTGGACATGGACCACATGGTCCTGGATGGGAGTGACCAGGACTGATCTGGACATGGAGCATGTGGCCTTGATGAGAGTGGCCAGGGCAGGCTGGACATGGAGTACGTGGTCCTGGATGGGAGTGCTCAAGGGGGTCAGGAAAGCTGTTCTCACCTATGTATTGATCACATGACCAAGTGTCCAGTAGGTGCTGGGATCCAGACCAGCACACTTGTGAAAAATGGACCTGAGGTGCAATAGCTTCCCGCTGAGGGAGGACGTCCCTGCCTGGAGATCAGAGGGGGTCACCATGGCACCTTCCTCAGGGAGCTTCACCCAACATTTCAGGACAGCTGCTAGAACCACCATGGGCTAGAAACATGCCAGGCCTGGGCCACACAGGAGGACAAAGGTCAAGGAGAGGCAGAGAAGTGGGCCCAGGATACACCTTGGCCCTTATGGGGCCTGATAAATGTCCTGGAGGGACTAGTGGGGTATGAGTGAGGTCAAAGGGACTTGAACAACATCTGTTTTAACAATGAGGGCAAGAAAGACCCGCCTGCCAGGTTCATCTCATGCTCTGCACACACAGCCCAGAGGGTCCTCTCATGGTCACCATGGGCTGGGCCAGGGGCTACCACTCTCTTCATTCCCAGCTTGAGCTCCAGGAACCAGGCTACAAGGAGCCTCCCCTGTGATTAAGGAGAGAGATGACACTGTGGTCCTCAGGGACTTCCCAGAGCCCCCATGCTCAGCTCCTGGTCCCCATGGCAGAGGAAGCCATAGAGAGAGGCAGGTTGGGAGCAGCAGGTGGGGCTCTCTGGGATGTGTGCTAACAAAGACACAACCCCACCAGCCACCCGCAGCCTCCCTTTCAGCCTTCAGGGATTTGGTGTAGAAGGCACAAAGGGCACAGCTCCAACAGCAAACAAAGACAGGCAGGACTTTACTGAGCACCCTCCTGCCCACTGCGAGATTCCAGTCTAAGCATCAGCCTTGGGGGACAGGGCACTTTCCAATGCCTCGTGCCCAAGATGGCAGTGAGGACCCAGAGACACAGAGCAGCACTCGGGATCTTTAAATGTAGGTGCTGGCCAGAGCAGAGCCCTGCACATGGGAGCAGTACAGCAAGAAGAGGGCCACGGACCCCAGGGCGCAGAGATGCACACCTGTGGGGCTCAGCAAGGCCCCAGACTCCGCCCCCTCATCATGGTGGCCCTCCTCAGGCTCTGCCGCATCATCATAATCTTCCTCCTGCATGGGCCCCCTGGATTCTGGGGACACCTCATCTTCCTCCCTCACAGGGACAGCTTCGATGTCCTCATAGACGCCCTCTGAGGCCTGGTTCCCCGACAGTCCAGAACCTGCAAAGGCAACAGCCTTACAGAATGAACGCTCCTGTAGATGGGGCCTCCCACCATCGCCCCAGGCACCGGAGGCTCTCGGGCCTGCTGAGACCCCGGCTCCTCTCCAGCTGCCCCTGCCCAGCAAGGGCCTTCAGTCACACCCTGCCCTGCACTGATCAAGGGGACCTGGGGAAAGGGGTGAGTCCCAGGCTCTGCACACACTAGGACAGGCCCCAGCTACAAGGACAAGGATGAGGGATGGATGGGGGACACTTTGGTGCCCAGGAAAGAGGATTTTCTTCATAGATCCATTCTCAAAACATCGTGAGACCTGGGTACCCACACCTCGTGAGTGGTTCCACAGAAACTCTCCCAACAGGGCTGCTAGGAAGACACCTGCAGTAGGCAGGAGGGTGGCCAGAGCAGAGAGGGTCTGCCAATGCTGGCGTCTCCCAGAGCTTCCCCAGCCTCTGCTCCCAGGGACCCTGCTCACCACGCCCAGTCATCCACCTACCCATGCAGGCAGCACTGCTGTGGCACCACTGGACACCTAGCACCAGGAAGACGAGGCCCAGGACGAAGCCAAGGACCAGGCAGGCGATTTCAGGCAAGGTCCAGCCTTCAGCAACAGGTGGAGGGGCCAGGGAAAGGGCTGCGGGCAGTGAGAGGCGGGGCCTCCTGAGTGCCTGGCTACCTGGGGCATTGTGACCCTGGACCTGGATGACTTCAGCCTCTCAGAAGGGGCAGTGTGCATGGGGGAGGGGTCTCAATGCCACCTGGACAGGCAGCTGCTCCCCAGAGATGGCCAGAGGCCCCATGGTGGAGGAGCTCAGGGGGAAGGCCTAGGATTCAAGGCTCAGGGGAGAGACACAGATGGGACTGCCAAGTGCCAAGGCCCCAGCAGTGGGCTTAAAACCAATGTCCCTGTAAAGGGCCTAGATGGAAGGCTCAGCCAGGAAAATCCAGGGGAAAATGCCCCGGTGTGAAGCCCAGGATCAGGGCACGGGACTCATGACCCACCCATGCACACAGGGAAAAGCTCCTATGGGCCTTTCTGCCCTGCTCTGCTCTGCTGTAGACCTAGAGCCACAGTGTCCTCAAGGCCACAGCCAGCAAGGGCCCGGGCCTGGGCTCATCCAGCCACACGGGCCCCTCACAGGCTCCCCACCCACCCAGGCCCAAGGAAGGACAGCTGCTTTCATCAGGGAGGGGCCTGGACCACCTGAACAGGGTGTGACCAGGCCCCTGCTCCCAGAGGGACAGTCAGAGCTGAGCCCCACCCACTGCAGGCCCTCTAGGGGCCCAAGGACTGGGAGTTGGGGGTGGGCAGGAGGCCACCTACCAGATGCAGTGGTCCCAGGGACACCTGCAGGAGACACACCAGCCTGAGCCCCAGGACGGGAGGCAGAGATGCTCCAAGCAGCACAGACCTGTCAGGGCCCAGGGGCTCACCTGGCCACCCTCTGCTAGAGCATCATAAGACCCAGGGGGCAGCCTGTGCCAGGAGCACCCAACTGAACCCTGTGGGGAGTGGCTGAGAAAAAGAGGTGGACACAGGAACACGCCCTCCAGGCACCCTCTCCCCCTGGGTTTCTCGCACACTCACCTGAGCAGCGCACGCCCGCGTACTCCTTGTGCTCACAGTCTCCGCGTCCCCAGGGCTCAGCCGGGCAGCCCCACAGGGACGCCTCACTGCCACGACACCCCACCTCATCCAGCCACACGGGCCCCGAGCCAGGGCCGAAGGCAGCGCCCCGCACGGCATCCACTGCCTGGCCACAGCCCAGCTGGCGGCACACAACCTCTGCGTCTGCCAGGTCCCAGGAGTCATCACACACGGTGCCCCAGGAGCCCCTGTGCCAGAGCTCCACGCGCCCAGAGCAGCCATCCTTGCCGCCACGCACGCGCACTGCGCCCTCCTCTGGAAGGGACAGAGGTTACCTCTGGGCCACACTAGGCATGAGCAGGCTCATCTACATAAGGGACAGAGGCATACCTGGGCCACTGAGCACGGATGAGCAGTTGAGCATCTCTCCTGAAGCCTGTGCCATTGTTGGTGAAAATCCTGTAGAGAAGCAACCAGCACCTTTAAGCTTAGGAATGGGCAGGCAGCTTCAGGGCACAGTGGACAGATCCACAAGGCTCCAGGTCAGAGCTGCAGTTCACTTCAGCCCTATCTGTGACTTTCAGAACAGTCTTTTTCAGGACACCCAGAAGAGCCAGGCCCACCTGCACAGGCAATCCAGGCCTCTTCTCCCAGGGCACAGGAGCGTGGGTCCCAGGGAGCAGAAGGACAGTGCCACAGAGTGGAGCTGTGTGGCCTGCGGCACTCGATGTCGTCTACCCAGGCGGTGCTGGAACCTGCCCCTTGGAATGGCTTGTTCTCCAGCCAGCCCTGATCCCCGCACCCCAGCTGTTTGCAGATGATAGTCAAGGAGATGTCTTTGAGGGCATGGCTGCACACAGAACCCCATGTCCCATTGTAGAGCACATCCAGCCAGCCAGCACAGCCACCAGGACCTCCTCGCAGGTGTGCTGCGTAAAAGTTCAGGGCACTGGGCACCACACAAGAGGAAGACACCAGACAAGCTCAGGATGGAACAGACACTTAGGTACAAGACCCAACAGCGCCCTCCTGGAGGAAGACAGCACAGCCGGGACCGTGGTCTGAGCAACAGGGCCACACACAGGCAGATGGAATGGCACCATATTCAGAAGCCTCAAACCACACAGGAAAGAGGCAATGACGACTGTCAGTGTGCCACCAGACTCTTGCAGGGGAGGGGATGGAGGGTGGTCCCGGCTGCTGGGTGCAGCTGGATGGGAGGGCTGGTTCCCAACGTTCCCTGGCAGGCAGGATGACCATGACTGACACACTTAACTGAATACTTCAAAGTGGAAAGTAGAGAAGACTATAATCTTCCCAAGACCAAGAGGTGGGCCACGTTGAGGTGACAGTTCTGCCAGTCCCTTGGCATGGTCAGGACACACTGTACACTGTGCACTGCAATGTCATACTGCACCCAGTGAATATGCACTTACTGTGTGTCAATTTAAAATACCATTTTTTAAAAAATTGGTTAATGACATGAAAAAAATAAGTCAGAACCATGATTTAGTCCAGAGCTTCATGCTCTAAATAGGCATCAATCCTGATGGATCCAAGTCCAGATATGTCCCCCTGGCTGACGTGTGGCAGGGTGGTTGATACAGCCCCAGAGTGGAGCCTAGAGACCCTTTAAATCACACCTCATGGGCTGGGGTTGAGGCTCAGAGATAGAGTGCTTCCCTAACATGTGTGAGACATTGTATTCAATCCTCAGCACTACAAATAAAGGTGCATGTCCATCTACAACTAATTTTTAAAAATTACGCCTCAAGTGGCAATTATAACATTCATATAACCATGACAGGATAACTAGAGAAAATTTGATATATCTTGCCTCCAACAAGATCATAACTAATTTAAAAAATCTGACTAATTAAGATAACTTAGGAGCAGCACTGCAGGGAGGCTGCTGGGACTTTGGCCGCTGAGTGAGATGAGCACTTTCTCCCTCTCTCTGGAGCCTGCTGGGTCGTGACAGAACAGAGGCTGCCCTCCATCTGCACAAAGCAATGCCAGAGAGCGGGAGGAGATCCGTGCATGCCCACCGCGTGCTGATGTCACCATGACACTGGCTGTCTCTGGGAATAATGACAAACTGTGACCCAAAAGTGACCCACCAAGAGGGCAGCAACATAGAGAAGCAGAATTCCAAACAGGGTAACCTTAGGCTTCCTAGATGTCCAACTGCCCCATGAAGACACTAAAAGACAAGACACCCACCTGAGCAGAAGACCTCAGCGTCCTCCTTGTGCCCACAGTCATGCCGTCCCCAGGCCCCAGACGGGCACTGCCACAGAGCAGACTCATGGCCCACACAAGCCAGCTCGCATCCAGATGGGGCCAGCCCCAGCCCCAAAGTGGGCGGACCCCAACGCACTCAGGGCGTGGCCACAGCCCAGTTGCCTGCAGGCCACATGCGCGTCCTGTAGGTCCCAGTCATCATCGCACACGGTGCCCCACTCCCCCTCTGGAGCACCTCCACACGACCATCGACCATCGCAGCGACCCAGCCCAGCGGCCAGCCGTACCGGAGGCTCCCTGCGGAGAGACTGAGTCAGGAGCGCCTGCACTCTGGGGGCCAGGGAGCTAGGGGAACAACTGTTCCCACACTCACCAGAGCACACGACGCCAACGTCCCGTGAAACCCCTGTGGGCACCCGCTGGGACATGGACACGTTGCATTGGGTCAGGTGGGTCTCGGAGCCCACGCAGCGCACACGGCTCAACCATACCCGGACCACACCACGGCCCGTGGTGGGCGCATCGTAGGCTCGCTCTGCCCCTCCGCACCCCAGCTGCCGGCACACCACGCTGGCGGCCCGCAGGTCCCAGGCGTTGTCCAGGACACGGCCCCACATGCCGTCCAGGGCCATCTCCACCCGGCCATCACAACGGCTCTGACAGTCCCTCAGATGTAAGGCGTCTGGGAGACCTGGCAGGGAGCAAGAGGGTTCCCTTGGTCACAGGAAAGCCCATCCCCACAAAGCCCTGCCCACTCTCAGCTCAGTTGGAGTCCATACTCTGTGCTTTTCCAACCTCCTGCTGACCTTCCGCTTACTCTTCCACAGTCCTACCTCATACCCACCTGAGCAGAGGGCAGAGGCCGAATTTCCTGGGGCACAGGCCTGGGCCCCCAGCGTGCTCACTGGGCAATTCCACAAATAAGGCTCTGTCCCCACACAGTGAAACACATCTGGCCACAGGGGAGCTCCTCCTTCCCCAAAGTGGCCTCCTGGAGGTGTGGCCACAGCATTGCCACAGTTCAGCTGGTGGCAGAGGACGGCTGTATCTGCTAAGTCCCAGTGCATGGCACAGAGGGGCGCCCAGGACCCCTGCACCTGGAGCTCCACACGGCCCCCACAGCTGCTGCTGCCATTGACCAGCCGGAACTCTGGGGAGAGATGAAGTCCTGTGGCCTCAGATTCACACACCCTAAAAGTAGCTCTACTCGGCCATTTCTTTCTTTTGCACCCAGTATGCTGCACACAGAATGGACCCTTGATCGCTGTGTCCGCCCCCACCTACCAGAGATCAGCCTCCAGGTCCTACAACTCTGCAGAGGAGCCCCCTGTCTGCAGTGTAGCCCTTGAGTCGCATCTCTCAATGGCCAGAATCCTTCCCCTTCCTTTCCTGCCCTCCTTTCAACCAGCAGGACCAAACGGTCCCTGAGCACACATACACTCCTGCCCAGGACCCTTAGGAGCTCATCTCAGTCACAGGTGGGGCCCATGGAGGAATGTTGGCAAGCAAAGACCTGGGCTGGACTTCTGCAGTCCTCCCCAGGCCTCACCTGAGCACCTGAGCCCCACGTCCTGGTCATGCGGGCACTGGCGCCCAGGCTCGCTCTGGCAGTGGAACAGCAGGGACTCATTGCCCAGGCAGTGGGAGGCCTCTGTCCACACTGGCCCTGAGCCTTGGCCAAAGAGGGTGCCGTGGACAATGGAGATGACCAACCCACACTGCAGCTCCTGGCACACCACGTGGGCTGTGGGCAGATCCAGGTCCGTGTGGCAGACAGTGCCCCAGGTCAGGCCCCGCCGAACCTCCAGGCGCCCAGCACAGGGATGCTCACCTCCCACCAGCCGGGCCTCCAGGTGTCCTGGGGGAATCAACATCCTCTCAGGTGGAGATAGGTATTGTCCAATGAACAGCCCTGAGCTGACACCTTCCACCACACCCACAGGAGGCTCACACCAGGGTTGTCATCTGGGTCCAGTCATCTGGCACACGGAGGCCCATCCACCCTATACCTAAGGCCAGAGGGCAGGGTCACCTGCTCTGCACTCACATTTGTCACAGCCTCTGCCTGTCAGGGTGATGGTATCCAGTCCATCTACAATCTCAAAGGCAAGGTCAAGGTCCCCTCAGGCCATAAACACTGCCTTTTGTGGGCACCATGGCAGGTAGTCTGTGCCCCTCATACTCAACCAGGAGCTGTGAGCAGTGCAGCTCACATACACCTGAGACAGGGCTGGGAGGAACTGACTTGCTGTCCACCAAATGCCTTTTAGCCTGTAGCTTTCTCAGCTGAAACTGGTCAGCCCTGCACCTTCAGCAAAGACTCCTGGCCTGGGTATGCTGAGTTGGCATCTCGCTGGGTCTCCAGAAACTAGCTCCATTCTTGTGGGCTGCAGCACACAGACCTCAGCACACCTGTGGCCTGCTGGGTTCCACCTGCAGCCTATACTAAAGAGCTTCCAGGGCCCTTTATCTCTAGGTCCCGCCAAAGGCAACTCTGAGCTAGAGATTATCAGATTTTTCACACAGTCCTCTCTGTTTTCCCTCAACTTTCCCAGCCCACTCACTGTCCCTTCTGAGAGCCAGTTGCCCACATGTCGATAGAGAGGAGCAGCCATGAACACACAGGCCTTTCCCTCCCACTACACCCACAATGGTCTGCACCCCATGCCTCAGGCAGGATGGATCCCTGGCACCCCTGCACCCCCACAGTGCCCGGGCCTGGCATCACCTGAGGGTCCCTGAGAGCATGGCATGACAACTCACCTGAGCAGACCACCTCTGCCTCCAGCTGGAGGTCACAGCCACTGCGCAGCTTGTTGTTGAGTCTGCAGTTGCGGATGGTGGGCTCTGTGCCCCTGCAAACCATGTACTTCCTGACGATGTCCACACCCTGGCGGGGGGCCTGGAGTGCAGGGCCACACCCCAGCTCCTGGCAGAATACTGTGGCCTCCTCCATGTGCCAGCCACAGAGGCGGTCCACCCCATTCACATTCCTGATCTCAGGGAGTCCTGCACAGGGACTGTGACCCTTCACCAGGCGGATCTCCCGGAAAGTGCCATCTGTGAAGCACAGGCCCACGTTACAGAAGATTCAGACTCCGCTGGGCACACCGACACTTGAAGACTGCACACGCCCTGGTAACAGGTATTTCCAGATGCACTGCCTTGGACCATGGCAGTGCCTACCAGGCACTCTCTTGGGTCTGAGAGGCAGGAATGACAGTGCAAACCTACCTACCCCTTCTCCAGGGAATCCAGAGAGGGCCGGATTTCAGGGTCCAGAGACTGGTATCACACAAGTTCAACCCCGTTCAATGCTCTGGGTCACCCCCTTGAAGTATTCAGCAGGCTTTAAGAAGGCCTTCACGGTGGCTTCACATGAATCCCCCAGACCCTGGAGGGCCTTTTCAAGGGGCTCTTACTCTAGTGACCTGATGCAATGAGGGTCCTCACAAGCTCCAGGCCACACAAAGCACCCAGACACGGCTGAACCATGCCAAGCCAGACATCCAAGGGAAAGTCATGAGTGCATGCCTGTGTGCCTCTGGGGCCCTCCTAGAGGACCCCAGCCTGTGGCTGCCACCCTAAAAACTACCCTGCTTCCCTAAAGCTGTGGCACTGGCAGCCGAAGCTCAGTGGAGCAGGACCCTTGTCCAGTCCATGCACAGCTGGGCACCAGCCCTTGGACCAGCACGTAGCATCTGAGTATTTGAAAGAATTAGTCCCCACACATAAGGGACTAATGGGGAGAAGAGGTGGCAGCAACTTGCAGTCAGGTGTTCCAGGCCCCAACCAAGAGTCCCTGCCAGTGCCCCAAACCCACCCTTCCTCTCCTCCAGGTCTATCCCTTCCCAGGTCCTCCCTAGCCTCATACTGTTTCCTCCACACCCACCCCCACCCCCCTCCACACCTCCTCCCAGCCACCTCCTCCCAGCCTCCCCCTCCCCCTGCCCCTACTCACTGGCACAGAGTACAACCACCACCCACTCATGGGGGCATGCGCTCTGACTCCGTGCACCCAGGCTGCACTCCCAGAGGGAGGACTCATGACCCCGACAGGACACGTGGTGCAGCCAGGGCCGAGCCACCTCTCCTGGTAGCGGGACATACTTGGGAGCACCGACTGCACAGCCACAGCCAAGCTGCCTGCAGACCACAGCGGCCTCCGCCAGTGTCCACTCCTGGTTGCACAAGTGTCCCCACTCCCCACCACGTGGGACCTGCACCACTCCATCGCATGCACTCTGTCTGTGTGCCAGCCGCAGGTCACCAGGACTACCTTGGGACAGATAGGACTGGTTAGAGGGCAGAATGCCCCCTGGGTCTGGTGGGGAGAGGAACCAGCCTGAATCCACCTGGGGCTGCTTCCAAGGATTCGCTCCACAAATTAGCAGCCCCAAAGCAATTCTGGAAAAATGACAGCAGGGGTCCGAGGGAGACCAGCCCACTGCCCCCACATCTCCCCCAGTTCTTCTCCCTGCTCCCCTCCTAGCCTGGAGAACCGACACCACAGTGATGCCCCTCAAAGTCAGGGAGTTCCCTTGTCCTTGGAGGCCAGGAGCTGGGCTGAATCTTCACCCGCCCCTGCTCCCAGATGTCATGTCTCCACTTCCACTGGCGATACTGAAACCCACCACTCTTCCAGTCTTGGCAGCCTGCCCCCCGGACGCCCTAACCACCTTCAGGGCCCCTGGTGGACCCTGCACCCTCAGAAGAGAGAAGGTCCCATGTGGTGGTGGGCTCAGAGCGAGGAGATGCCCAAGGGAAACTGTGTCCTGCAGGGCCTCCACCATCACTGCCCTGCACCCTCCACTCAGAGCCTCCTCATCACTCCCTGCCCAGATCGTGGAAGGATCAAACTCTGGTCTGCCATCTTGAACACCAAAAGCCCTCAACCGTGACCCCAGGCACAGCAACACACCATGACCTCTGCAGGTGTCAGTACCCTGCCCTTTCTGCCACTGACCCCTGCTGCCAACAGGTCCCAACTCCACTGCTGTGACTTGGCTTCTGTGCAGCAGAGGGTGACCTCCCTCCGGGCCTTGGAGCAGCCCAGCCAACGCATTACTTCTCCTTCAGCTTCAAGGGCCCTGAAAGCTGCAGACCCCTGTAGATGCCCACCATGCCTTCCCATGTGCACACTTTTGCACACTCAGCCTGGGCTCACTGTCACCTCCAGCCTCACATGCTGTTCCTTCGGCAGGTCTCCTCTGAAGCTTCTTGCTCTTGATCCAGCAGCCCCTCACACACACACTACCCTGCCTGGGAGTTCCTGGGACTCCCTGTTGCCTTCATTGCCCTGTGGGCCCCAGCCCTAACCCAGGGGACAGCAGTGCCCCCAGGTCTCATCAGCACTAGGTGTCCATCTGGGTCCATGGAACCAGGCACCAACCCAGACCCGTGCCTGAGCTCCAAGCTTATCCTGCAATTGGACCCTCTCAGGGTCAGGCCCTTTGCAGCCCTCCTGCCCAGGATGTCCCATCGGCCTTGGGGCTAGTGAGAGCCAGGCAGACAGATGGAGACAGCAGGGAATGCTCGTGTCCCAGGGCCTGGGCATCCACAGAGCCACTGTCTCCAGAAAGTCCTGTGGATGAGGAAGGAGAAACTTACCAAGGGGGGGCTGCCCTGAGAGTGAGAAGAAAGAGCCCCAGCCCCAAGGTCCAGAGAGCTGCCCTCATAATTCCTCGTGGCTCCAGCCAGCTCTCACCACTCAGCTGGGGCAATGGCGGAGGCTGTGGCCCAAAGTTGAGTATATAGATGTGGGAGCCACCAGTGGCCTGGGCTAATGGGGACAGCAAGGGCCTTTCCAGAGCAAGTTGGCAGCTGTCTCCCCCTGTGAACAGAGCAACCAGTGGCCTCGCTGGCCCCATGTGCCACCAGACGTAAGCAAGGGGCCCCTGCTGGGGCTTTCCTCCCTTGCTGACAACTGCTGAGGGGGAGCCTAAGCCAGACCCCATGATTGACAGGTGGCCAATCTGCCCACACCCAGCAGCAACAAGCCCATGTTTCTGCACACCACAAGCAGGCTCTTCCCTTCAGCCCCAGCAATCGCACAAACGGTAAGACCATGCCCAGACAGCCCAGGACATCGCCTTTGCCCCCATGGATGGTTCCCTAGGAATTGCGCAGAGTCTCAGCAGCACAGAAGGGTGAGAAAGACCAGGGCACTTTGGGAGGTTTTGGAGACTAAGCTGCATGGAAACAAAAGCCCATGGAGCAGGCAGCATCACACGCCAGCCGGCTTGCCTGCTCAAAGAATAGATGTGAGAGGATGCAGGGTCTCCTGAGCAAAGAGCAGAACTCCCAGGGACAACTGAGATCACTCAGCCCATCAAGAACTGAGAAAGCTGAAATCTAAGGTGTAAAAGACCATCAGCTGATGCCTATACCAAGCGGGACTAGATGTCAGAACTACCTGAGAGGCTTTGAAAAACTGTCAGAAAAATGCTCCCACATTACGTTGCAAATTGCAAATTTGTTTCAGATGGGACAAAAGCAGAAATCTTAGCAAAGAAATAAAAGCTATAATAATGAGGCATGGTGAGGAGATGGAGCTAGCAGAACTCTCATCGTTTTCAGGTGGAATTGGAGACTAGTGCACAACATAAGGTGCCCTGTGACCCAGCAATTCCACCCTTAGGTGTGTGTCTAAGAGAAATGGAACTTTAAGTCCACACAAACACCTGTACAGGAATCTTCACAGCAGCATTGTACATGACCAACAAAAAGACAGTCCAGTATGCAGCAGCTCATGAGTGGTGAGCATATCATTCACCATCTGATGTAATTTTTAATTGTGTGATACTTCAATGCCTGCACACTCATGTGTCAATATGTCACTCTCTTGAACATTTAGACTTTTCTGCTCTGTTCATAGTTGCTTATGTGCTTTGTGGTGGTGTGTAACTCAATGCTTGTATGCAGTATGCAGTAATAAAATCAGGACAAGTGACATTTCTATCTCCTTAAAAATGCTACCATCAGCATGTCAGTGTCTACAGAGGGTCTTCTGGAACCCTGACTGGATGACCCCGTCACCTGGGGAGAAGACATCCTCTTCCCGTCATTCAGCATGATGTCTTCTCACTTACGTAGATGTTCCTTGATTGATTTCACCAATGATCTGTGGTTCTCAGTGTGCAATCCTGCACTTGTGTTGTTAGATCTATCCCTCACTAGTAAATTTTTAACTAATATGGTGAATGATATTTAAAGAAATTGCTAAATTCCAATTATTCACTGCTAGTATACAGAAGTCCAATTTATTTTTGTGTTTTTGTTTTTGTATTCTGACCTTGATAAATTTAGTTATTAATTCCCAGGTCTTTTCTGTAGATTCCTTGCTATTTTCCACCTAGATGATTATTTGACCTGGGAATAAAATGTTTTATTCCTTCCTTTTTAATCTATAATCTTTCTTCTTTTTTTTCCTGCCTATGCACTAAGACTTCCATTAAAATGTTGAGAAGAGCAAAGAGGGTACCCTTCCTGTGTTCCGTAGTTTGTGGGGGAAGCACTCAATCTCACCATTAAGGGTGATCTTGGCTGAGATGTTTAGTCCCTTGAAGGTAGCTATTCCCTTCTATATCCAGGGCACCGACAGCTTTTATCTTCAATGGAAGACCCATTGATCAAGTGCGTTTCCAACACCCTGGAGATGATCATCTGCTGCTGCTTTTTCAGTCATGTGATCATGACATCAATTAATGTTCTGTATTGTGCAGCTTCTCATTCCTGGGATAGATTTAACTTGGTTGTACTGTCATTTATTTACTTAGCAGACTTACTGCTCTGTAAGTTATACAGCATAAAAAACATGTACCTACAGAAATTAGAACATCTGTTTATGAAAAGGCATATACGTGACCACTCTCAGTGCTCAACATCCCAACAGCCGCACAGCCCGAATGCCCATGGCAGGCAAGTGCAGACAGCTCAGGGGCCCAGCAGAGGGATGCGGCTCAGGAGGAGCAAGGAGAGCACCTGTCGGAATCAGGCCCAGGGCGTGCACCGGGACTCACTCACACAGGTTCTAGGAAATGCAAGCTGATCTAGACTGGAAAGCACAGGGTGGTTTCCTGCAGGGCAGGATGCGGAGTGCTGGGCTGATGGGAAACTCCCTATCTTGATTGCTGTGGTTTCCTGGTGTATTCAAATATCCAAACTCATCAAATTGTGCACTCAGAGCACATGCAGCTTATTGTGTGTCAAATAGGCCTCCATAAAGCATTTTAAAGAGAGACTTCCCACAAAGAAAACTCTATACCCAGAACAGGCAGAGCCAGCAATGTGTGCAGCCCACGGCCAGTGCCCCAAGCTGCACTTAGGAAAACCTAATGTAAGAGGCCGTCTAACCTGCCACATGGATAAACCAAGGATGAAAAACCACATCACCATCTTATGAAAAGGAAAACATCTGTATAAAATGCAATGCCCATTTTTAATAATAGACAAATAGCCACCTCTTTGCAAAATAGAGACAGGAGGGAACTTCCTCCACCTGAGGAGCATCAGTCAACACACAGGAGTAAATGTCCTACTTTCTCCCCTCACCACGTCTGAGTGACTGCCCGGTGGCGGTGGTAACAGGCAGGGAGATAAGTAAAAAGAGGCCAGAGGTTGAAAAGCAGGAACCACAGGGACACTCAGCAAATCTACTACACGCAGCCATAGACCAGAGTCAACTCTGCTTCTACCCCAGCAACAAACAGAAAATGAATTCTCTCAAGTAGTCCCACTTAGAAAAGCAGCGAAAATGTCAAATATCTAGGAATTAACCAATGAAAGATGTGGAAGGAGAGATGCCGAAGGGCAGAAGTGACTGGCATGCACCTCTTTGGGCCAGAAGACCCAGCCAGAAGACATACATCGAAATGCAGGAGGGGGACACAGGAGCAGCCCTCAGGACACAGGAGCTGGAGGCAGAGGTGCGCTCCTATCTGACGGCTCCCATGGGGACTTCTCAGAGCGTGGCCCAAGGGGACATGGGCAGCAGCAGAAGGCAGGCCAGTTCCTGCGTCCTGGGGGAAGAGGGGTCCCTGTGGTGGAGCTGAGTGGGCCTGTGAATGTGGACAGGACACAGGGCAGAGGGAGACAGGGAGAAGGCAGCACAGACCAGGGCCTCCCAGCCTTTAGTTCATGGGAGAGGAGACTAGATTCATTTCCTCACTGACTTCAGAAGCCAGGAGAGAAAGAGGGTGGAGGCCAGAGGAAGCCTCCTTGGGTGTGGGGGACAGCCCAGAGCAGAGCACAGCTGGAGGAGGCCCAGGGGTGTGAGCAGGAGGTCGGACCCTGCCCTGCGGCTTGCTGCTGAGAAGGGGCCGAAGCTAAGTGGGAGAGCGGTGGGTGTGGTGCTGCAGGCCCCTCTGCACCTCTGCATGGGGTCTGCCCCTCACGTGCCACAGAGCTGCCCTTCATGAGCCCACTGTGTCTCCTCCCACACCTGAGCCCCTGCAGAGCTGGGGTCATGGCAGGGTTCAGTATCCACCCAACAAAGGAGGAGCCCCCAGACATGGCCGAGGAGTGATGAGTGACTGGCACCTGTCAGGTAATTCTGGAGCAGGACATCATAAAGCCACTGTGCTGGCCCCAGGTATCCCCAAGGTCTGGGCTGCAGCAAGGCAGGACCCAGTTCAGCTCTGTGCACTGCAAGTCCCTTGCCCACTTCCAAGGGACTGGTCAGCAGTCCTGGCCACCAGCCACAACTTGGAGCTGAATCCCCATTAGGCCCTTGCACCTTTCCCTCACCTCCAACTACCCTTTCTCCCCCACCCAAGGACCACCCAGCCCAGAGCATCAGTCCAGGCCCACCCGGTGGGAGCACTCGGAGGGGCATCTGCTAACCCTGGATGCCCCGGGCTTCCAGCAGACAGTCAACACAAAGGGCAGAGCCAGGGGCTGCGGTCCTCCTGCAGTCTCAGTGCCTAGGACAGAGAGTCCTGGCACCTGTATCTGCTTCACAGTCCAACCCATCCCGTGTCCCTCAAAGTGAAAGGAGGGATAGGAGGGTGAGGATGAGGTGGGACTGCTCTGAGCAAGCAGGCATAAGTCTGGGGCTGCACCCACAGCTCTGGGCCTGAGTGGGCAGGGGGCCCAGGGACCCAAGGGTTTGTTCCTCAGGCCCTGCTGGGGATGAGAGGACCAATGGGGCCCACAGCATGCCCCCCACACCTGCTGTGTCCTGCCAGGACAGTAGTACTGGGAGCAGGCGTCCATCTGCCCTGATCTAGCCAATCTAATAGACATGGTCACAGGGGAAGGGGAAGAGGGAAGAAGGACCTTCCATGTGTCACCTGGGGATTGGGTAAGGAGTGGCCTCCACTCCCTTCACAAGCTCCAGCCCCGCCTAGTCAGCTTCTCTCTCCTGTGAGTTCTTGGAGGAAGGGATTGTGCCAGGGCAGAGGAGGGCTTTCCATGCACAGCCAGCTTATTCTTTGGCTGCACACTCTGGCTGCCCTCTCCAGGCTGAGCACAGTGTTTGCAGGCCTGCCCAGCACAGGGACTCGTGTACCATCCCAACGTGTGGAGCAGCAGAACTTCAGTCTCCGCCGTCCATTCTCATCTGACACGGACACGTCTCTTATTGTGGGGGAGTCACCTCTAGGTCTGCACTCCCCAAACTCTGATCTTTTTGGAACAGACTCTGATGGTCACAGGGAGACTCTGCTACATCCAAGAG